GCCGCCCGACCCAGAGCCCCGCAGGCCCGGGAGTGGGAACTGGGGTAACACCAGGGCCCTGCCCCCTTGCTCTCGAGAAACGGCCGGCAGCGAGCCCCTGGGCCTGAGCTCACCACGTGCTTGAGCGTGGGCAGCCGGCGCTGCCAGCAGTTGTAGAGCAGGCCCAGCGCGATGATGACGACGCACACGGCACCGATGACCACCAGCACCACGAACAGTGTCCCGTAGTCGCTGCGTGCCTGGCTGGCCCGCGCCTGGCAGCTGCTGGCCGTGGAGTAGCTCTGGATGCCGATCTGGGGGAGGGCGGGGCCTGGGGACACCGCTCGGCTGCACCCAGGACAGCCCCAGCCTCTCCCCAGTCCTGGGTGCCAGCCTCTGTGGCCCCACCATGCTTCTGCCTGCCAGTCTGAGCACCCCTGGGCGAGGCCGGCCCTGGTGGCCAGACAGCCCTCCCCGTCCCTGCCCTGAAAGAGAGACCAGGGCAGGTGGCCCTCCCACACGCGCCACCTGGCAGCCCTGCAGCCCACACCGTGCAAGGTGTGCTGGCCATGGGGCCTGTGATCCCAGGGCCGGCAACCGCCTCCCAGCGTGGCCTCTCAGGCGGGCCTGAGGCCTGGGCCTGGCGGGCTGGGCGTGCGGCTCTGCAGGGGTCCCTACATTGCCCGTGCGTCCCACGTTTCTGGAACCGGCCCTGGGTTTTAAGCTCTGGAAGCCTTTCCTCGCGGAGCAGCGCCGGGGCACCTGGGAAGGCCCAGCACTTTCTGCCCCCCTGGCCTGAGCCGTGTGCCCTGAGGTCCCGACCCTGGCAGGGCTGCGGAAGGCAGAGCCAGCCCCTCCCCCAGGGCTCAGGAACCTGCAGTTTTAGAACTGGACCGGCCCTGGAATCCCTGGCCCGGTGCAGGGGAACCAGATCCCACCAGGTGGGCCAGTGCCCTGAGACCTGCTGGGCACGTGTCACAGGCCCCGGTCCAACAGCAGGCAGGGCCACGGTGTGGCTGCCCATGCTCTCCACACACCCCCATCTCTGAGGGGGGCACACGCCTTCTGGCTAAAAGGAAAAACAAAACAAAACTAGAAAGGCCCTGGGCTCCCCCAGACGTGGGGAGAGGCCTGGCTGCACTGCTACGGGGTCAGCTGTGTGGGCTCCTAACCTCTGCGTCGGCTCTCGTAGGCGGGCACCTGTGAGCTCAGGAGGGCACCTTCCCTAAGCAGCACAGCCCCGCAGTGGCCTTGAGGGCTGGGACCCTGCGTGGTACTAGTGGGCATGACAAGCTCCCAGCACCACCACGGAGCCCGCCCTCCCCTCGCAGGGGGGACAGTGGCCGGGACGCCTGCCCTCTGTCAGCTCCATGGAGCCTGGGAGGGGCAGCGAGGGCAGGGTTGGGCTCCGAGGACAGTCCCGGGTACCACCGCAGACTCCCGGGGGTGCTGCTGGTGACACAGCGTCCCCTCCCTTGGCACCCTCGGGCTCTCCAGCCCACCATGTCTTCCCTGTTGCCTGTCCTGCCGCAGTCCCCTGCTGCCCACCCCCTGAGGCCCCTTGAGCTGGCTGGACACACTGCACAGGGGGTAGGGCATCCCTTCCCGGGTCTGAGTGCCTTGCCTCATGTGGGGCTGCACCGTCAGGACCGTGGGTGCTGGGTGGGGCCGAGGCCAGGCTCTTACCTCCGCCAGACGTCGGCGGATGTCACCGAGCATGGACAGGACATCTTGCGTGGGCACCACTCCTGTGGGGACACCGGAGTCAGCCACACAGCCTGGCCAGGCCTGCGCTGCCCCGGGGTCTCCGGGTCAGTCTGTCCTGGCCGGGCCTGTGCGCAGGGCCCGGCTCAGCCTGCACTCTGCACACCCGCTCCCTGCCACCTCCCGCTCCTCCCCGAAGCCCAGCTTAGCCCTGAACCCAGGACCAGCGCCCTCTGCCCGGGAGCCCTGCCTCGCCGGCCGCCTGCAGCTCACCCTGCTCGCCCACCAGTGTCATGAGAAGGTGCCGCTCCTTGTCGCTGGGCTTGCTCAGGGAGATGCGCCAGGCCCCAAGGGGGCCGTGGCCGTGGCGCGGAAGCACCTCTTCCACCAGGGCCAGCAGCCTCAGCCCCCGGTGCTGCCGGAACACCTCCTGCCACCAGAGAGCACCAGTGAGCCCCGGCCTCCCTCCCCCCTCCAGCTGGGAAGAGGAAGGGACGAGGGGTGGGCACAGGATGCCGGTGAGTGTGTGGGCGAGGGCTGGAGGGTTGGGGTGGGCGTGCCGGGAGGCATGGGGCGGAGGCAGGCAGCTGGGACCCAGGCTGTCACTGCAGACACACTGCCCAAAGCCAGAGGGGACAGCTGCACCCCAGGCCGGGGCACGAATGGGGCCGGGTAGGAGCTTTGCTTGTGCCTGGGTGATTGTTTATCTAACAGTGGGTCAGCGCCTTCAGGGAGCTTGGCAGGCCCTCCACCACGGCCTGCCCCATCCTGCCCTGCCCTGCCCTGCCCCACCATGGGGACCACCCCTGCTCCCTCCGGCTGCCGCCCGGACCCAGCCTCCAGGGCACCCCCCAGGCCCTCTCAGCAGCCCAGCCCCTCCTGGGCACCTGCTATGAGCCAAGGCCCAGGGCTGTCAGGGGCGCTGGGCTGCAGTGGCCTGCTCCTTTGTCCCTGGTTGTCATGCCCACCTAAGGGCCACCAGGTAAGTGCTGACCTGTTCCACTCCCACAGCACATGGCAGGGACAGGCTCAGGGCAGCTGGGAGAGCCTGGCCCGGGACTGCTGTCTCGTGCACGGGTGCTGGGCGGGCACTGGCCCCGAGGCCTCGTGCACAGCCTGTCCCGTCCTGGGCAGCGGTCTCCCGGCCAAGCCCCTACCGGGAGATCAATTCTGAGAGGGTCTGCACACCTCGAGGCGTGCTCAGAAGCACTGGGCCAGGTGGTGGAGTGTGTGTGGACCCCAAGGGGCTTTTGCCCCATGACAGACAGGTACCTTTAACCCCACGTCCCAGGCCTCCTGGTCTTCAGGTCACAGAGATGAGGAGGTTGAGAGTCAGGGAGGGGACGCTCCGGCTCTGGCCAGAGGACTCTGCCCAAACCTCAGGTCCGCCCTTTCTCCCTGAGACCTTGCCGTCCCAGGGAGAGTGTGCGTGTGTGTATGTGGGTGTGTCTGTGGTGGAGTTGTGGGGTGGGTGTAGGGGTGTGTCTGTGTGTGTATGTGGGTGTGTCTGCATGGGGTTGTGGGGTGGGTGGGGGTGGGGTGGGGTGTGTGTGTGGGTTTGTCTGTGTGTGGGGCGTGTAGGTGTGAGGGGTAGGGGTGTGTGTATGTGTGTGTCTTGGTGTGGTGCAGGGGTGTGGGTCTATTTGTATGGGTGTGTCTCTGGGTGTGGGGTGTGGGTGTGAGGGGGTGTGTGAGGGGTAGGGGTGTGGGTGTGTGTCTATGTGTGTGGGTGTGTCTCTGGGTGTGGGATGTGGGGTGTGGGTGTGTGAGGGGTAGGGGTGTGGGTGTCTCTGTGTGTGGGTGTGGGTGTGGGGATGTGTGTGGGTGTGTCCGTGTGTGGGGATGTGTGTGGGTGTGGGGTGTGCATGTGGATGTGGGTGTGTGAGGGGTAGGGGTGTGGGTGTGTCTGTGTGTGCTGTAGGTGTGGGTGTGTGAAGGGTCGGGGTGTGTGTGTGGGTGTGTCTGTAGGGGATGTGGATGTGTCTGTGGGTGTGCGTGTGGATGTGGGTGTGTGAGGGGTAGGGGTGTGGGTAGTGGGTGTGAGTGTGTCCGTGTGTGTGGGTGTGTCTGTGTGTGTGGGTGTGCGTGTGGATGTGGGTGTGTGAGGGGTAGGGGTGTGGGTAGTGGGTGTGGGGGTGTGTGTGTGGGTGTGCGTGTGGATGTGGGTGTGTGAGGGTCTTCTGAAAGCTCATGAAAAACGGATTAAAGTTCGAGGCTTAATTTGGTTCCGAAAGTTTCCAACCCACGCACGGGTTTTCGTAAGAATTTTCCACAAACTTTCTGAGGCCCTCTGCGGACGTGTGCACGTGTTGTGTATGTGTGCGCGTGTGCCGTGTATTGCTCACACCTGCGTCTACACGTGGAAATGAGGTCTCTCCCCTGAGAGGCCTGGAGGACACCAGGGCGGCGAGCACACCTGGCCCCCGATCCTGGACTCCAAAGGCCTCTCATTAAGGGACAGCCCCTCAGAGAAGTGGCCAGCCCGGGCACACAGCCCGACACGCCGTGCCATGGGGAGTTGTGCATGTGCGCCAGCACCGCGGCACGAAGGTGCCCACTGCTGTGGGCCCGACCACCCAGACCGCACACCCGCGTCCCCCGGCACCTCCCGTGCTGGCCGAGGGCTGCTCCCCACCTGCTGGGAAAAGGCTGAGCCCGCGTCTCTATGGATGGTCTCCCTTCCGAGTTCGGAAACCAGCCCCCTGACGGACGACCTCACCCCACCTCCCTCCTGGGCTGTTCATTTGCTGGAGGGTGTGCACATTCTGGGCATGCACACACATGTGCCTGACGTGTTTTAAAAGACGCAGGTCCGGGACTTGAACTGACAGCCAGCCACGTGGGATCCAGCCTTCACCACCAGCCAACGGCTGGGCTGGCCCACCCTCTGGGGTTTTACCAACTTTCCCCGGTTTCCTGTGTTGTGTTCACCTGACATCGCGAGTGAAACCCGTCTTGCCACTGGGCCCCCTTCCCTTCCTGCATCCTGGGGCCAGGTTGGAGCCGCAGTCGGCCGAGAGCCGTCCCCGGTCCTGTCTGCAGGTGCATGTACAGCCCCCAATGTCACACGTGACCCCCACTTGCCACTCGTGTCGAGGCCGTGCCCATGAGGGAACATGGAGAGGCGCCTCCAGATTGGAGAAGAGGGGACAGGGCGACCGAGTGAGGCGGGCACAGACCAGACCCCGGACTGCGGGCAGAGTGCCCTGGGGACACTGGGCCCCTGGCCAGAGCAGCACGGCCCTCCTGCCGTCGGTAGCTTGTCCTGGTTATCGGAGAGAACATTCTTGTTCTGAGGATGTGAAGCTGGACGGGACGGGGGCAAGAGGGAACGTGGCCTGAACGTGGCCAGTGGTTTGAAAAAATGCAAACGTGACGCTGGCAGAAAGACACGGGGGTCTGCATGCACTCGTCCGAAAGGCGCGTCCTCTTGAGCGACAGAGGCGCGTCCCCGTGAGAGAGAGGGGCGTCCCCGTGAGCGAGAAAGGGGCGCGTGCCCGTGAGAGAGAGGGGCGTCCCTATGAGAGAGAGAGAGGCCCGCCCCGTGAGAGAGAGGGGCGTCCCCGTGAGCGAGAAAGGGGCGCGTGCCCATGAGTGAAGGGGGCGCTAACCTCGCAGGGCGCAGGCCAGGCAGGGCTGGTGGCAGAAGGAATGATGGCGTGTGCACCGGGACCCTAACACGGGTTCATGGTGCTGAGTTACTGTCGACCGTGGGCACCCACAGGCAGCTCTCGACTGCAGGGAGAAGCCAGCCCAAGCCACGGGGCTGGCCCGGAGCGCCTGTGCATCCCAGGCTGGGTCCCACATGGCTGAGCGCAGCTCGAATCCCAGCTGCGGTGGCTTGAATAACACGCCAGTGCCCATGCATGCCCCAAGTCCCTGTGGGATGGAGAGAGGGACTGCCGTGTGACCACGCTGTTCGGGAATCTCTGCAACTACAGAGAGGAAGAGCCATCCCGCGTGTTGGGGGCGCCGCTACCCGCCAGAGGGGCACAGTGCTGGCAAGGCTGGGACCTGGGCTCTCTCGGCCACCGTGGGTGGGACCAGGCAAGGGCTCCCCGGAGAAGCCAATGACAGAGGGCAGCCGTCCGCCGCTGGGTACACACCCCGAGAATAGAAAAGGGCTTCGAAGAGATGCAGCCTGTGGTGGGAGCAGCCACGTCCGTGGCAGACGGAGGGCCAACAGAGCACATCTGTAATGCACCGTGGAACGTCTCCCTTCCTCACCAGGGGAGGTGGGTGTGGCCTGGGCCATGACACGGGTGGACCTCGGGCACGCCGTGCTGAGCGGACGAGTGACTCCGGGGGCCCGAGACCAGCAGGCGGGAGGCTGAGGGGCGGCTGGGCGGGCTGCGGTCTCGTGGGGAAGGCCCCCGTGGGGAAAGGAGAAGTTCTGCAGACTGGGTGTCCCAGCGGTGAGGACAGCTGGAGGGCAGATGGGCTGCGGGCTGCTCTCTGCGACGGAGCCTACGTAAAGGGCGACTCGGGGCGTGAACAGCAAGAACTGAGAATGAGAAGACAAGCGGGGAGAACAGCGAAGGCATTTTAATGTCTGAGCTGTCCGGAAATGGACGTGAGCTTTCGACTGCCACGGGCACACGGGACCCGGCAGCCCGGGCGCCGGTGTCGTGGTCTCCGATGACCGCGTCCCAGTCGGAGGGGCAAGAGCACTTGGAGAGACGTGGGCCCCGGGCCTGGCAGCCTCCTCCGGAGACCGAGAAGACTCAGAACCGACCAGCTACGGGAGGGCCCAGAGCTGACCGAAGAGGTCACGGCTGAAGACATGGGGTTTTCACGTCGGAAAGGATAAGGTGGCCGGGCCAGCAGGGTGGGGTGGCGACCACGCGGGGTCCCACATCAGCTGCGTGGTCAGTTTCAGATCTGCTGCACTCCAAACCCCGTGGACAGGATCTGCCCGTGTGCACCCAAATCCCGAGGCAGGATGGAGATGGGACTGTGGGTGGCCACCCCAGGAGGACGGTTTCCACTCTGTCCTTGTTCTCTGTCCCTCCAGCGAGTGCACCCTATGGCAAACTTACAACTTTTTTCTTTTAAAAGCAGAGTTGGATCCCACTAGCCTGTTCAGCCCAAAACACACCAGGCGAGTCCACGACCGCCCAGGGTTCGAAGGGCTGGGGACCAGAGGAGACCACGGCGTGACCAGACCCTTCGGGGTGCTCTCTTGCACGTGCGTGTGCACACACCATCACGAATAAAGAGGAAAGAGTAACAAGCTCCATGGCTGAAGACACGTGAGTCGCGCTAAACCCACGACTTTCTGATGCCGCGGGGGCCGTCCCGTCGGACATGCACACCTCTGCTCTCCTGAGCCCACAGAACGGGGGCCGAGTTAGACAAACCTGAACGGCGATGTGAGGGCCAGGGGTGATGCGTGGGCAGCGGGAGCAGCTGTGCATGCAACAATTCCTGACTCGGCAGCTCCGGAGCCGAGCTGGGCCCGCTGGCGCAAAGCGAGGGGCAGGCAGTGTGCAGCCCGAGGTGTGGGGACGGGCACGACGCCACGTCCAGGGCAGGGCAGGGAAGGTGCTGGACTCCACATGGCCCACTCTGCGGCTTGGGTCCCTGACTCAGCAGCTTGAAAAATGTGGAAGCATGTGCGTGTCCAAGATCCCAAGGGGAGGATGAAGGGACTGTGGCATGGCCGTCCCCCTGGGGGTTCCCCTTTCCCACTCTCTCTCTGGCAGGTGCACACGCCCCAATGGCGAAACCTCTGGGAGGGGCGTGGAGAACGGGCTGGGTGGGTGTCTGCTTCAGGGAGCACTGGGCCCCACGGCCGGCAGGGGCGTCCCTTCCCTCACACGAGACCGGACGCTTCCCGTCTGAAGGGGCGAGGCGGGCTCTGACCCAGCCAACAGGAGGCATGCCTGTGCGCGTGCGTTACACACTCACGTGGGGCAGCGGGGGAGTTTACACACATAATGGAGCATGAGGCACCAGCCCTCTCCCCGCAGCCGACTCGGAACACGGGCAGCCCGCAAGTCTCACTGGCAGGACAGGCCCCATCACCTTGGAAGGGCCCATGTGGGTGGCGGGCACCGCCCAGCGCTGGGCCTTACAGGACACCCCAGGGTCGGGCACACGTGAGCTGGTGAGGACGGCCAGGCGCGAGCACACTGGGGACCTTCTAGCTCTTGCTGGCCCCTCTCATGGAAGAAACGGGTTTTAAACTTGAACAAGAACAGGTGCGGCTCCCGCATGTGAGCGCAGGCAGACTGCCCGAGCAGGTATGGCTCCCGACTCCCGCATGCGAGCGCAGGCAGACTGTCCGAGCAGCAGCCCTGGCAGCTGGCACAGAGTTCCTGGCCAGCTCCCTGACACCGCCTGCCCGGCCAAGCACACGGCAGGCACACGGGCCTGGGAGCAGAGGTTCCGTGATGCACCGAGGCCCGACTGATGAGGGAGGAAACGGCCTTTTTAAATGCAGAGGGCCACGTGAGACTGGCCACACCACAGTGGTTTTCCTTTTCCACACTGTCGGGATCCTGGCACGTGTGCACACAGGCCCAGCGTGGTTTCCCAAGCCTCCGGGGTCGTGACCAGCCATGTGGGACCCGGCTCCCAAAGCACAGGGCTCAATGGCTGCATGGTGGAAGCCCTGGGAAAAGTTGCTGAGACACGTCTCAGTCTCGCTGGTGAGATAAGGTACCTGCTCGTCAAGAGCCTGGGGGAGGAAGCGCGAGCCCTTGAGACGCGAACCGTGGACACGCTGTCTCCCAAGCCTGCTGCACGCCGGCTCTTACCCGGGGCCCCGACCACGGACCAGGCTTCTGCCCTCGCCCGCCACTGTGCCCGAGCCCAGCAAACACTCACGCAATCCACGTTCTCGGTCATGTTCAGGATGACGTAATTCTTCCCGGCCAGGTTGCTCCAGTCCTTGCAGATCACCTGTAGGCGGGACGGGGGTGACTTGAGGCACAGGTGGTGGCCGGCGGGAGCACCGGGTCCTGAGAGGCAGGATGGCCAGACATGGAGTCTGCCCCCTCTCCAGGGCCACGGCTTCAATGTCCTCCCGGCAGGGACCGTCCCGGGGTGACCACCAGGCGTGACGCCCAGGAAGCGGGTGGCTGTGTGATGGGGCCAGGCTGCAGGGCTCCAGGCTGGGGGCCCCACACCAGCTTGCTCAGGGCTCGTGGTCAGACACACAGGCTGGCCGCCGGGACGCCTTCCTTCCCATCGGGGTGTGAGCAGACCGTGCACGAGTGTGTGTGCATGTTTGCACGAGTATGTGTGTGGGGGCTGGCAGGGCAGAAATGGCTGGACGGGCACAGCCCGCACCCCTGCCCTCCTGCTATGATGAGCTTGGAGAAGGCCCGGGATGGAGGCAACCCCTGAACAAGGCGGGCACGTCTCCCCAAGGTGTCTGCACACGAGGACAGCAGAGTGCCCACTGCCAGTCCCCCCAGAGAGGCGGATGTGAGGCCCGTGGCCGGCCACTCTACCTGAGTTGAGTCCCAGGGCGTCCTGGACTGGGCTTCGGCCGCCGGCCCCTCCTCCGGCTGCTGCCCAAGCTGTTCCTGCCCCGAGGCAGCTGAGGAAGGTGTTGGTTCTGCCCCTCGGGGACCCAGCGGGAGAGAGGTTGGGGTCCTAGGGTCCAGACGGTCCTCCCCCGCGGCCTCAGGCTGAGAGGCTGGGGTCCTGGGGTCTAGATGGTCCTCACTCATGGTCTTAGGCTGCCCTGGAGCTGAGGGTGACGTGTCCCCTTGCTCGCTGGCTGTCCCCATAGCAGGCCCCTTGCTAGCTTCCTGGGGAGCCATGAGGGTGACCCCGAGTCCTGTTGCCGGCAGCACGGTGCTGCCTGCCTCACGACCCCCCGTGGTCTCTGCTCGAGGGCTGACCATGGGCGGCGGTGGGCCAGGCTCCAGGCCGCTCTCCACTTCTAGCCCCGATGAGGCTCGGTCCCCCGTGTCTTCTGGCCTGTATCCTGTGCCCCCGGGCGCCGCACTGCTGCTGGGGGGCCCCAAGGCCTGGGCTTGCGTCTCGGCCTCCTCAGGGGGCCCGTTCACTGGGAGCAGCTCCTCCTCCTCCTCTGCATCTGGAGCCACGTGCCAGGGAGGCTCCACCAGGCTCAGCTTGGGCAGGGGCGAGGGCAGGCCTGGCAGCCCCTGGGTCTGGGTGCTGTCCTCCACGGACCCCGCCTTCTCAGTCAGGTCTGGAAACACGTAGTCTAGGGACAGAGATGAAAGGTCACCCCTCGCGCCGTCACGCCAGACCTGCTGCCACCAAACCCAGAGATGCAGGGCGAGGAGGGTGAGCACCTGGCAGACTGCATCCTCCGGTGCCATTGGCAGGCCACCGTACACAGCCCCTGCACTGGGCACCCTCAGCCTGGCCACTGGGTAGTGGGGCGGTCCTCCCTCCTCCCTCCTCCCTCCCTCTGTCCCTCCTCCCTCTCCCTCCCCTACATCAAAGAAAGAAATGTAAAAGAATAAAGGGTTGGGGGGGGTCAGCGAGAGGGGACACCAGTTGTGACAGGGAAGAAGGGAACTGCCCTAAGGTGGGAAGGGTCCTGGCAGGGGCAGGTGAGGCCAGGCCTCCAGGGACCTACAGCAGTGGACAGGAGGGGACAGGAAGCCACAGGCCCCCTGGAGGAGGGGGGCAGGCGGGCAAGGGGGAGGG